AGCTAGTGTTGCTCCAATTAAGATTGGGCAATTCCTGAAAAAAGGTTGGTGAATTTAATGGGTTGGCAAATAAGGCAAAAAAGTTGGTAACTCGAAGGAAAAGTTGGCAAATTCTTTAAAAAAAAAAGTAATCGTTGGTAAGTAAATCAACTGAGAATCGGTAATCCAAAACTAAAAATTTACAAGAAAAGCATATAAAAGTTGGTAAAAGATAAAAAGGTTGATAATTTGTAATCTGTCTAAAAGAGGTGGTACTTTCATATATCAGTGGACAAAAACTTCTTTTTACCAATTTTATTTAACACTTACCAACTCTTCCAAAATCTACTACCAGGGAAATCGAAATTTGTCTTTTTTGAACGAAACAATAGAATTGTTTATTCTTCGTTCATATTGAAACTCATTGTTGATTTTGTTTGTTTTAGCATCATAAACTTAATCATGGTGGCGGATCCTCGGTTATCAAAAAAAAAAACTTAATCAATAATCAGATCAAAATATTATGATGTTTTCATGACTTTATTTAAAATCACTATTATGTTTCTCTCAACCTCATAATACACTATTAAAAAGATGAAGGTGTTTCTCTACTTTTACTTTCATATAAAATTCCTAACATTCACATGTATTTTTGCTTACCCCGATTCAAAACACGCCATCATGAACAGACGCATCTATTTTCCCATATCCCATAATACTTCCTTCGAACCGCTATGACAAGAGATACTCCACACCTTCATAGCCTTTGTTATTAGCATCAATGAATTAGTCGTTTGCCTTGAACAACTTCAATTTATCATCACACTCTATCAAATGAAAAAATTACCAAAAAAGTCTCAAACCTATTATACCCTTTCCAACTTAGTCCTAAACCTTTCAAATTTGCCAATTGAGTCCTAAAGCTTTTGACCATTTGCCAATATAGTCATTCCAACTGATTTTGACTGAAAATTAATGACGTAAACAAAATTTGCATCTTTTTAAAAAAAATTATTAATTTTAAATAATATTTTATTTTTCTTTCTTTTTTTTCCTCTGCTAAGTCCAGTGAGGTCACAGGCCACTGGACAAGGGCTATGAAGCCCTCACCGATCACGGGTGAGGGTCCCAGCCCTCGCTGGACTTAGCGGATAAAAAAGAAAAAAAAAACAAATTAAAAATTAGAATTTATGTCACATAAAAAAAATAGTGAAAGAGAACTGCATTTTGTGTAGTCGCGAATATGACTTTAATTTGACAAAAAATATTACAATATGTTACATAAAACACGAAAATAGGATTGCATTCTGTATTGTATCGCCACATTGAACATGGCTTTATTTTACAAATAAGACTTTAATTTAACAAAAGAATACAAAACCAACACGTGCATCGAAGGGAATTCACAGTACAAAATCATATTCTAATTGAACATTCTTAGTCTCCTTTGTTTCAGTATTCTGACATATTTGCACAAATTAATTTAATGTGTACCGTTTAAGTTATTCATTCCTCTCCTAAATTAAAATCTATTTTTGTATGATTAACTAAATGGTTGGTTTGCTAATACAATCTTTTTTTATTTCGAGTCAGTGATGCTTTAAACGAAAGAATCATTTCTTTATTAATCAAACCAATTGGCCACAAGGATTACATTGGCAAATCCTCAAAAAGTTTAACTTTATATTTGCCAAAATTGAAAAAATTAGAACTGAATTGGCCAACGTACAATAAATTTTAAGACTTTTTGCACAATTTTCTTTTTATTTAGAATTTAGGTTGGTTACTTCGATCTTTTAAATCAATTTCCATACAAGTGTCATTGAAGAAAGGATGAAAGACATACCAAAGATAACTTACCCGGGATTTTATTCGTAATTGAATATATATCTAAATTAGCCCTAAATCTTATGAAGAAATTACTCAACGAATCTGATTACATATCATGAGAATCCGAAAGTAAATTAATGCGCCTCTTGTTTGTGGTGATTTTTCATTGGCATCAGTAAACGGTTGGATTCGCTCATATCACAGTAGATTAATGCAGGTTGGTAACTTCGATCGTTTGGGTCAATTTCCACACAAGTGTCTCCCAAGAAAGGATAGAAGACAAATCGAAGATAATTTACTCGGTAATTTATTCGTATCTGAATTAGCCCTAAATCTTATGAAGACATTACTCAACGAATCTGATTACATATCATGAGAATCCGTAAGTGCATTAATGCCCTCTTGTTTGTGGTGATTTTTCATTGACATGTTTTAAATGATTGGATTCGCTCTTATCAAGAAGTAAATGACTTGTTTACATAAGATAAACTAGCAAAAACGAAGTCGCTCCTCAGTGATATAACCACCTCCTCGTGTCATCGGCTACTATCAATGGCATAAATCTGAAAGAAATGAAGCACATCTGGGTATAATCACTCACATGACCATTCCTCTTCATATAAGTGGAAGAGAAGGCTTGAGGCCAAGTGAAGTCATCGGGATCGCTGCAATATAAGTTCAACCATTGAAAGTGAACCAGGAGAGGTAGAAGAGAGCCTTGCAAAGAAAACAAGGAGGGGTTGGGGAGTCATGGAATGGAGGAGCATCTCCTCGTTTTCTCATCTAGATTTCTGCGAAAATCCCAGGTCAGTTTCTAGTTTTGAGTTTTCATTTTTCATGTTGTGATATCACTTGATTGCCTTATCGTTCTCACTCGATTGCCTCCAATGATACTACATCCTTCATTTTGAAGCTTATTAGCAGTATGTATTGGAATACTTTCTTAACTACGCAATTACAGACTCTCTCTCGCTCTCAACATGACACGACTCATGTATCCTTATTATTCTGCTATACACTCATCATGTAAGCCTATTTGCCCATGTAATATTTTTGGCTACATGATAGAATTATCCCACGCTTTGACCTTAGATGCTTTGCCCATGGATTTTTCTACCTCATTCACGTATCACTGATCTAAAGTGTGATAGCAACTACATAACATCAGAAATTACATGGAAAAAGTATCAAAAAAGTCCTAAACCTATTACATTGATACCAATTCAGTCATAAACCGTTCAATTAAACCAATTTAGTCGTAAACCTTTTTATATTGGTACCAATTCAGTCTATCTGGCCAATTTAGACTGGAAATTACTGATGTGAATGCTGGCGGTCCTATGTGGTATGACCGGCATTGACGTGAATAAATTTTTTCAGATTTTTTAAATATTTTTTTTCTTTTTTTCTCTTTTCTTCCTTTTATTCTTTACTGTACACTGTTGGCTGGCGACCTCGCCGGCCGACCATTGTCGGCCATAGGCGAGGATCGACGGGCGAGGGCCGCCGCGTCCTCGCCGGTTGCGGGCAAGGGCCGCCGCGTCCTCACCAGCCACAGGTGAGGGCATCGTGCCCTCACCTAGGTCCAAGCATAGGGCCTCACACCCTCACCACCCTTGCCTATGGCCAGCGAGGGTGCGGCGACCCTGACCTGTGGCCGGTGAGGACACAAAGGCCTTCACCCAGACCAGCCTGTGGCTGACGATGGTTGGCCGGCAACTTCGCCGGCCAACAGTGTATAGTAAAAGAAAAAAAACAAAGAAAAGAAAAGAGAAAAAAAAGAAAAAATTTATTTAAAAAATCTAAAAAATATTATAAAATTATAATATTTGTCCACATTAGCGCCGGTCGTGTCACATAGACCGCCGGCGTCCACGTCAGTGATTTCCGGCTTAAATTGGCCAGATGGACTAAATTGGTACCAATGCCAAAAAGTTTATGACTAAATTGTTTCAATTGAATGGTTTAGAACTGAATTTGTACCAATATAATAGGATTATGACTTTTTTTATACTTTTTTCGAAATTACATTCTATAAGGACCATGTAATCTGGCTACCAAATGGGCCCTAAACTCTCGGAATCTATTACTCATAATCTCATGACATATCGCAGAAATGTAAGGGCATTAACCTAGTACGTGCGTAATTGCAAATTGTCCAAATTTGCACTTTGGCAATTGGTAATGTGAAATCCAGGTGCCATCAAGTACCATCCATAGAACCAAACTCCCATTATAAAAAGGTATGTGATGTATTCACCTATAACAACTGCACTCAGCACCACAAAAATAAAAAATAAAAAACTCATTTTCTAACAACCTCAGTTGTGTCTTTTTGTTAGATTAATATTCTCATCACAGCAAAGCACAACCTTAGCTTTCCCTTTCCTGCTTCTCTAAAGTTAGGGGGCAAACTAAAGTTGTGGATTGCCAAAACGAGAAAATTACTTTGGCAACAAAAGAAAAGAGAAATGGGGTTCGGTTCAAAATGATGTTTGTTTTATAGGGTGAGAATTCTTTACAAATGAATGCATTGCATATCTTTTTATAATGAGAATTTTGTGCTATTGATGGCACTTGATGGCACTAAGACTGGGCCCTGTTTATTGTCGGAATGCATATTTTGTGTGTAAACAATACATTTACTTTTTGATAGAGCGAATTTGGTCATTCGAGGTAAGCCCAAAAATCCACAACAAATATAAGGCACATTAATACACTTGCATTTTGTTGATATGTTGTTATATTCAATTACATCCTAGTATTTACAGCGTGTTTCGATAGCCCGGATGAGGATGAGGATGAGACATAACTTATCTTGTCTTATGATCGCATGGTCATTCCTAAGTTTTCCCTTTGGGTCAGATAAGGGATTTCTGCAATCCAATGACCACCAAGTTAATCTCACTTGTAAGTTGGTTGGTTCATTAAAACGAGAAAATTGCTAGTCAATGCACTATGACCAGAATACCCTCTGTTTGTAAAAAAGAAAAAAGAAAAAAAACAAGTTTTATTTAAAGAACTTTCCTTTTTCGTTTCTTGCAAATCAAGTTTTAAAAACAGATGAGTTTTCAGATTTTAGACGCATTTAAAACTTAAAAGCCGAAGTCTATTAGGTCTTCATGTAAAGTTGGGACTCTCACCTCAACTGATCGTTTGGCTCGTCTTCCCCATTGTTTGGCTCGTCAATCATGGAAGCCTGCGATGGTCTTTCGGTTCCTCCTGTCGAGAAAACCTCCGGTGTTTCCCCAGTTACTTCAAATGATATGTCTGCGAAGAAGAATTCGGAGAGCAAGGGGAGATTCGTAATTCGTATCCGTTTGCAAAGCAAAAAATCCGACAACGACGGTAGTCCTGTGCAAATCAACCCAAGTCCAGCGGAGAAAGATGAGGAGAAGAAAAAGGAGCCGTGGGGTTTGAGACCCAGAAGGCCATGGCATCGCGTTCCTGAGAAAGACAAGGCCGAAGAAACGAAGGGCAAGGAGATTCCAGAGAGGATGAGGAAGCTTCCGGTGGCGCTGTCGAGGGAAGAAATCGAAGAGGATCTGGCATTCTTGACGGGTGGTAAGAGACCGAGAAAGATGCAGAAGAGACCAAGGAGCGCGCGTCAACATAACGACGACCTTTTCCCTGGTGCGCACTTGGGTTCGATTACGGTCAAGAGTTACAATGTCCATCCATAGATGCCAGAGGTCGAATTTGGGTTTGAACTGTTTGTTTCGCCGCTTTCGCGACTGCTTTATGATCATCAATCAAGTCGCTAGGGCATGATAGATCTCTGCAAATATAAGAGAATTGACCGTATCCAGATTGGAGTTGCTTATGTAATTGGGGTTGTATGTTTTTGAGTTGCTGTTGACTTTGTTGGAGGTTGAGATTTTGCGCTGAACATCAGAAGCTTGTTTGATCAATCCACTTTCTATTTTCTTTCTTCCAGTTCTGTTCTTGTTTCCTTTGATTTGATAGTTTTGCTTGATCATACATCAGCTCATGGTGGGATTCCCCAATTTGGAGATTTCCCACAACCCAGTTTTATTGGGCGACAGTGGATGCACAATTTTTTTTTTTATGCGTTTGTTCCACGAAAAAAATAACGATATAAAAAATATTTTTCAAAAAATAATTAATTATTCTTTTTGAAAAAATTATTCTAAGAAAAATCTTTTCATTATCAACAATAATTTATACTTAAACATTTTTCATTGATAATTTATATATTATTCATTAATTTGTTTTTGAAGCAAGTCATCGTTAAGAAAATAATTTACAAATTGTTGATTCTCTCTAAAACAAATACACTATGGAGGAAGTTTCCTTTAATAAAGTGGTGGTGTGATGCAATATTCTTTTTTGGGAAAGATTGCTGCGATTACCAAATAGGAAATATAGAGCTAAGGATAAAACATTTAACTGTGGATACGGTGGAGAACTAATTTAAACTGAACAGGGAGTGTTCAAAGAAACGTGTGAGGATTAGGGTAAGTAACTAATTCCAAATATATTGTTGTTGCCCATCGAATGATGGCCTTCGAGCCCCTATCACATCACGGCACCAGAAACAGCTCCCGGCTCTAAATTTTGCTCCCTCGCTCCTTTTCCCTAAGAAGTCCGAAGCGTGATCTCTTCCCCTTTTTCTTTAAGAGTTTTTTTTTTGGTAACCCGGGAACCCCGCACGGTGACACGAGGAGGTAAACCCGGGTGACGCTAGCGCGGACCCACCACCACGACGCCCTTTTTCTTTAAGAGTTAATATCACGAAAATCCTAAATTAATACACATGTAACAAATTTATCTCGAATTAATTTTTTTACCAATAAAAACTTCAAATTAGTATACTTGTGATAAATTTACCCTCTGTTAACTTGGATTAATGCCACAAAAAATCACAATTGATAAACACGTGACAAACAGAGGAGTAAAACCTCAAACTGATATACCCGTCAATTTGTTACGTGTCATCCAATTCAGTAATACGGTAAAATTTAACGAAAACTAACGAAGGGTAAATTTGTCACTGGTATACCAGTTTGGGATGGTACGTTTATCGTAAATGTACCGATTTAAGGTTTTTCGTGGTATTAACTCTTTTTTTAATTCTCCTCTCTACATTTTACTTGATGTTTCTATTTGTTAATTTATTCTTGATGCTTGAGTCAGATTTTAATAAGATGATGGCAATTTAAAAATTCAAAAGAATTTTTTTTTAAAAATTCCCATAATTTTAAAAAAAAATGCAAAAATTATCCACGTTAGCGCTGGTCATGCCACGTAAGGCGACTGGTGTTCACGTCATCAATTTCCGATCAAAATTTGCTGAAAGTACTACATTGGCAAATTGTTAAAAGATTTATAACTCAATTGACTTGAAACTTTAAGGATTTTTTTTTTGGTCAAAAGAAACTTTAAGGATAAAAAATAATAATAATAATAATAATTTTTTGGTCAAAAGAAACTTTAAGGATTGAAATCCTTACCAAAAAAAACTTTAAGGATTGAATTGGCACAAATACAATAGTTTTAAAACTTTTGTTTGTCATATTTATTTCTATCAATTTCATGTTAGTTTTACTCCACCGTTCTACGTTCTTTATATCTATTTAATGACATTATATAAATATACATCAGACAACAAATACAACTCGCATCTTTTCTTTTTCCAAATATAACTTTTCGAGCAAGTTTAAAAGACATTTAAAGAAAGCAGTATTTTAAAGCATCGACACACGCCTGCAACAAGGAGAAAACAAAAGAACAAGTACCCAAAACTATGCCCGCTGTGATATATTTACCCTGAAATTTTTTTTTTACATCAAAAACCCCAAACTATACCCAGTGTGACACATTTGCCCCAAACCCTTTCTTATGACTTACAAAACCCAAAACTTGTATTTACGTGATATATTTACCCTCCGTCAAGGTTTCGTTAGATGGTTTTCAGCCAAAATAACATCATTTTCATTTTACTCAAGCCACGTGGACACAATGTTAACATTGTTTACATTCTGGCATTTATGTAGAAAGATTTTTAATGGTGTTTATTTATACATGTACAAGTTTGGGATTTTTAGTATCAAAGAAAAAAGTTGATGGTAAATATGTCTTGGTGGGTATATTTTATAATTTTTGATGGCTTTTTCCCTTTACAATTATGTAATAATTGGATGTTCACTTTATTTAGTTTGACACCTTGAATCATGTGCATAAATTTGCAAACTGTGTCTAAAATAATTTACTTATACTTTTAAAAATGTTTATTCTTTTTCCTTTTCAAAAATCAATTAAAATTTTAAATTAAAAATTTGTTCAAAAAATTGGAGGGATCATTAAATACTTTTTTAGGGTGCGTTTGTTTTACAGAAAATGTAATGTTTGTGGAAAATGTTTTTCGGAAAATCATATTCCGGGAAAATAGTTAGTTTTCCTTTGTTTAGTGATATGGGATCGAAAAATTTTTTGGGTGTTTGGATCTCATTTAGAAAATGGTTTCAATCCCATGATTTTATCTCAGGCAAAAAATAATTTCGAATTTTTAAATATTTGTATTTTTAAAAATAAAAAGAAAAATAAAAAAAATAAAGAAAAGAAAAGAAAAGAAAGAAAAGGATAAAATATTTAAAAAGTAAAGGGAAGCAATTCTGGAAAGTGTTTTCACCTTCTTAGATTAGGGAATTCACTTTCGTAATTTTATACCTGAATGTTTTCCTTGACCAGAAAGTATTTTCGGTTGACTAATCATTTTTGGCGAACCAAACAAGTGAAAATCCGAAAAACGGATTATCGAAAAACACTTTCCTCGAATCAAACGCATCCTTAGACCTCATCATAATTCATACTTATAATAGTTAAAAATATATATATTTCAAAATGATGCCAATCATGATTTTCCTTACAAAAAATATATATTGAATAAATCAATTTGTGGCATGTGCGCATAAATTAGCAAACTATATTTCATACAATGTCTGTGACATTCCGAATTTCGAATCATTTTTGGGATTTATAAAACGTGTAATTCGTCAGTGTGCTTATAGTAAAATCTCGCCCGGGAACTGATCACTCTCGGTTATTGTTTTTAAAATTGAGATTTCGCTAGAATCGCACTCGATCGAATTTGACCGTTATTTAGAGCCCAAACTTTAGTGTCGAATTTCTCGGAGTTCCGGGACGAATTTAATTGGACAGTGTCGATATTATTGTGGCCAGCCTCGATATTGCCCGAGATATGTGAAAAGAGAATTTTTGATCGGGTGTGAATTTAGACTAATAGACCTTCGTAGTGTGTTTTATTTGATTTCTTTTGGTCTTTTTTCTTATTTTATTATTTAGGATTTTCGTGGGCCGTTGGATCGTTTTTGGATTTGAACCGTGACCGTTGGATCGCACTTGAGGATAAGTTTTGACTTTTGTCCTCTCTTTCTCTCTCTCTCTCCTCTCTGCCGCGTCTGCGCCCGTCCATTCACCCCCGGCCCGCGCGTCCCCTCCCCCTCTCCCCCATGCACGTCCACTCCTCCCTCTCTCTTCTTTTTCTTTCTTTCTTCTTTCTTTTCCTTTTCTTCTTCTCCTTCCCTTCCCCTTCGCCGCGACTGCTCCAGCTTCTGCGTTTGCCTCTGTTCCTGCTCCTGCGCCCAGCCGATCGTGATTCGCCGTCGCCTGGCCACCCGTTCCGCCGCCGTCGCCAGCTAGCTCAACCGCTGCACCGCACCGTCCGCCAGCCGCCGCCCCCGACCGACTGCTCTCTCTCCCTCTCCTTCGCGCCAGCTTGCTGCTCGAGCTCGCCGCGCCCGACCGCCGCCGCGCCTGTCACGGCCCGGCGCTGCCCAGCCGGCCGTCCTGCTCCGCTCCACCGCCTGCGACGTCGCCGTGCCACCCCCGACCGTCGCCGGCCCCGCCGTTCCCGCCGCCGACCTTCCTTCCCGCGTTCCTCCTTCCCTGAGCTCCTTCCCCCACTTCTGTCCAGCTAGCCGCCGCACGCCGCCGTGCCGGCAGTCGCTGCTCCCGCCACCACCACCCAGCTCCCCTTTGCCACCAACCGCCGCCGTGCAGCCCCGTTGCCGCCGGCTTGCGCCCCCTCAGCCCCACAGTATGTTGCACCGACACGTTAAAATGGCCAACGTGTCGGTGTCCGACACCGACACGCGTGTCGGACACGTCGACACGCGTGGACACGCCTCCGACACGCGGTCAACACGGTGTCGGATTTCCGACACGAAATCAACTCTCCGGACACGCCTCCGACACGCGAGTCCGGCGTGTCCGAAGAGTAAATTTGTAAAAAAACAAAAACAGAGAACAATAAATGGCGTCGACCTCCAAATCAGGGCTAAAACACGATTACCTCTTTACTTCTCTGTTCGACCGACAAACTCCCGTCCTCCGCGCCGCTCGCCGCTCGCCGCTCCCTCTCCCGCTTGCCGCTCCCTCTCCCGCTTGCGGCTCGCGGCTCGCTGCAGGTACACCTCTCTGTTTCGAAAGAAATTGTGGTGGCTGGGAACTGGGAAGAAGGGAGAAGTCGGGGAAGGGGCGTGTTTGGGTGGGGCCGCGCCTTTTTTTCTTACGGGGAGGTCAGATGGGGAGGTCAGATGGATGGGGGAAAGAAATTGTGGTGGGCTGCGTCTTTTTTTTCTTATGTATTGAAATACGAGAACATAATTTTGAGGAGAAGTTCGCATATCGCATATACTCA